AAGCCCTGGAACCAGTCCTGTTAAAACCAGAAAAAAATCAGACTGTGTGAATTATTAGACTGATCGGTATCACCGTCCCAACACTGAGGCACAGCAAGATCATTTTTAAAATAATTATTCTTCAGCTTGTGTTGAAATGTGAGAGCAGGGGAGAGCAGGCATATACAAATGTAGAAGCTCCCTTATTCATGAGAGGTCGCCACAGCAGGTAGCTTCACACCAGGGACCTTTTGCACTATGGAGCCACAAGTAGGTAAAACATTCACAATCAACCTGGTAATACGCTGGTGTGCAACTAAAAGGGTTTGCTGTTTTTATATGGAGCAAAATGGCTCTAAGATTACTTGCAGCCAGTTGGACAGAAATTTAGGCAGGAATTATGTTTTTACTTCTGCTGAGTCTGTATCTCTCACTGAAGCTAATCAGGAATGAAAAATTATTTAGGTCTCAAAAAACTGGAGAAACTCCTTCTGCGAGCATTATATGTGCTGCATACCTGCAAAGAAGGGGTGGGGAACTCCAGCCTCGAGGGCCGGTGTCCTGCAGGTTTTAGATCTCACCCTGGGTCAACACACCTGAATCAAATGATTAGTTCATTACCAGACATGTTGAGGAGGTAATTTAGCCATTTGAATCAGCTGTGTTGGATCAGGGATATATCTAAAACCTGCAGGACAGTGGCCTTTGAGGCCTGGAGTTCTCCCACTCCTGCTCTAAAGTATCTCAAACAGGATAAGTTATCCTGCTGCTGTTCTCCCATAAGAACTGCGTTTGTGACACTGAAAAGCTGAGTTCAAACCTGAAGTTACCTCACTCAGCCTCAGATCCTGCCTTGTAGTACAGCTATCAGATGTAGTAAACTACTGCAAGCTGATTGGCCGAAAGTCAAGAAAAGGAACTGTGTGCATGGGTGTGTGTTGTCAGTAACAACAGGCGTGTGTTTGAGCGTCTTGATTACAGAAACATAAAATTGTTACTGTTGTTGTTGAAGCTTCACTGTCCCGCTGCCTGTCTCATCCTGTGTGCGCGCAGATCGGAAAACTGTCTAAAAACAAGAAGAAGAAGTTGAAAAGAAAAGCAAAGCGACAGCAGAAGTTGTTAGAGGAGAGACTGTTTGATATACAGGTACAGTAGTATTGCAGTAATAGTACTGTGAAACATGTTGCACTAGTCCTCCAGCAGTACTGCAGGGTTAACTCTTCTGTTTGTGTGTTCAGAGGATGGAGGAAGAGGATGGTGTGCTGCAGGCTGAGGATGCAGACAGTATCGGTGAGTGCGACCGTTAGTAAAGGCTGAAGTAGAATTTGTTGTCTAACACAGTATAAATACGGTGTTTCTTTGTTCTTAGGCTCTCTGGTTGTCAATGGCAACACTTCCTGCTCTATAGCCAATAGCAAAACCAGCCCAGAGTCCAACTGCTCTTGGTTTGAGGATGGGTGTAACGGCCACGCCCCCGGACGGTTCTCAAGTCCCGCTTCTGGCCTATCAGGGTTCTCCAGCTCAGTGATGTCAGCAACGTCTGAATCGGCACTTTCTACTCAGTCCGGATACTCGAGTGGACGAGAAGGTTGGACACGCTCACACGTTTCAATTTAATACTTCGCCTTTAGTCATCGTTTGTAGTCTGTTTTTGTAGCAACTGAGAGATTTTTGGCCCATTCTCCCTAGAAAGACCTCCAGTTTTATATTTCACTACTATCTTTCTCACACTGCTCTAAGTTACTCTACAGATTTTAGGATAAAGAGCAGGTTCTGATCAGGGGACTGAGGACCAGCCCAGGGAGGCATCCCCTACAATGATATGATGATGAAGCTAAGGAGTTGCTCTACTCTTAGCTCCTCCCACAGATCTTTCAGAGGAAGCTGATTTGTACTCCTTGTATCAAAGTGATCCTCAGACTCAACAATTCAGACAGCCCACTGTCCCCAAAATTCTATCCAAATATGTTCTGTACACAGCATAAGCTAACCACACTTGATGG